TCCCCCTGCCATAGTGGCTCCTCAGAGCAGGGCTCTGCTGTCTGAAGGCCTCTTTCTTCTACCCAGGGCAGCAGGAACACCTCCCCCCACCTGGGAAGGATGTGTAAGTGCTCCTTGCAGAGCATCAATGTCAGCATTTACACCCCCCTCCACAGTAAAACCCCTTCTGCTGGCCCCCTCACCCTGTGGCTGTGCCCATCACCTGTGGCTTGGCTGTGGAGAGAGAGCCCAGGTTGCAGAGCAGATCCTTGGCCTACTTTAGAAGCGAACTATTGGCACTTGTGGCATGATTTGATAGCAGAGAGTGGGTGTTGTGGGCATGGAGGATTTAGTGATGGCCAAATACAAGCAAGGAAGCTGCCCAGGCTGGGTGAGGGGCTGGGGTGTGTGGGTCATCTAATCCCCAGGCAGGTGTGGCTGTACTTCTTCAGGGTGGGAAGAAGTGTGTGCATGTGGAGGTCTGCACATCCCTCCTGTGTTATCATAGAATCACAGATGGGTTTGGGTTGGAAGGGACCTTCAAGATCATCTAGATCCAGCCCCCTTGCATGGGCAGGGACACCTCCCACCAGACCAGGTTGCTCCAAGCCCCATCCAACCTGCCCTTCAACACTGCCAGGGATGGGGCAGCCACAGCTTCCCTGGGCAACCTGGGCCAGGGTCTCACCACCCTCACACTCAAGAATTTCCTCCTCATGTCCCACCTCAATTTCCCCTCTTCCAGTTTTAATCCATTCCCCCTTGTCCTGTCACTCCCTGCCCTTGTCCAAAGTCCCTCCCCAGCTTTCCTGGAGCCCCTTCAGGCACTGGAAGGTCTCCCTGGAGCCTTCTCCACTCCAGGCTGAACAGCCCAACTCAGAGCAGGGGCCATTGGCACTGCTGCCTCACTGCCCTCCTTGTTCAAGAAACCCTGGGGAGATGTGGTGCTGGATATACCTTCATCTCTGTGATTGCATGTCCATGTCCACGTATCTACATGTCAGTACATATGTCTGTGTTTTCCAGAGCACAGTTTTCATCCCCTGGCCAGCAGCTGGAATAAATGCTGGGGGATCCTCCCTGTGCTCCTCCTTTTAGGATGTCCTTTCTCCCTTGCACCAGGGTGTGTTTGGGCACCAGGCATGTCCTCTCCTTCTGGCATGATGTTTTGTTCTCCTGTCCCCAGGTGCTGGGGAAGGCTGAGTCCTGGCAGGGGAATGGTCCCACATGGCTTTCAGCACCCTGGCCCATTGCATGGAGCAGGTGGCTCCTGTATTCCTGTCTTCAGGGGATGCCACCCCCAGGATGGGGTCTGGTGTTCAGAGGATGCATCTCCAGGAAGGGATACGTTTTTCAGAGGATGCACCCCCAGGATAGGGTCAGTTTTCCAGAGGATGCACCTCCAGGATGGGATCCATTTTCCAGAGGTTGCCACCCCCAGGATGAGATCCATTTTCCAGAGGTTGCCACCCCCAGGATGGGATCTATTTTCCAAAGGATGCATCTCCAGGAAGGGATCAATTTTTCAGAGGATGCACCTCCAGGAGGGGGTCCATTTTCGAGACCGTGCACCCCCAGGCTGGGCTCCATTTCCCAGAGGATGCACCCCCAGGCTGGGCTCCATTTCCCAGAGGATGCCCCCCCCAGCCGGGGTCCAGCAGCCGGCGGGGGCAGCCACCATGGGTGGTTGTGCGGGTCACGGCGGGAAGTGTGTGAAGGGACCAAATTTAGCAGCCCAAACCCCAGGCCCTGCAGTCGGTCATTAACTGCCAGCCACTCTCCTCATCCCCCAACCACAAGGAGCTTTTTTAGGGCTGGTGTCCCAGAGGAGGCTGGAGGAAGCGTGGGAGGCCAGTTCCTGGTGACACCTCCAGGCACAGCGCTGCTGGTGCCATTGGCTGTGCCCTGCCCGGGGCTGGCACTGGCCACCAGTTAAATGTCTGCCCAGCCAGACTGGGACACTCAGAGCAGGACATCCTAACACAGGCAGCCAGCTCACCCCAGCACCAGAGGAGACACCAGCTTCTACCACACCTCAGGGTAAAGGTTTTGGTTTTCTTTCAGTTGCTTTGAGGTTGACTGAGGTGCAAATGGCAATATTTGGGGACGGGGGGGCATGTTGAAAGGTCCTTGAAAGGTTTGCTGCAAGGGCTTGTGAGCTGGGATGCAGCTGTTGCTTCCTGAGGGAAGAAATCAGGAGCGTGGCTCTTTGCTCCAGGGCACCAGGGTGCTGTGCAGTGCCATCAGTGGTGCAGTGCCTCCCAAGCTCAGCTGGGTGGTGGGTGATGTTGCTGTGGCAAGAGAGAATCTGGAGGAGCTTTCTTGTTCTCTTAGCGATGCTTAGACACAAAACCAACCAAACCAACCAAAAAAAACAAACTGTGCCAACGTGGCCAAGAATTTCAAGTCCCAAAGTGAAGGGAAATTCCTGCACAGGATGGGCCAGAAGGTGGTACAAGGACAAATCCTTGGCTCATTTGATGACCAGTCTGACCATCACGTGCTGGGACAGGGAGGCTGTATCAGTTGGAAAGGCTTAGTGGGGCCAGGTTGCAGCCAGAGGCTGGTCTGAACCCTTTGTTCCTTGTTGCAGGTTCCACCACCAACATGAGGGCTGTGTTCCTGGTGCTGCTCCTCTGGGCCGTAGCCTGGGCTCACCCTGTAAGTACCCACTGGACAGGTTCTCAACCCCCAGCTCCTCGTGGTTTTTTACCCCGCCAAGGCTCACTGAGCACTGATCAGGTGTCTCCTGGGTGTGTTTAGGTGCCTGGCCAGCAGCCTGCCCGCCGCAGAGCCCAGCAGGAGGTAAGCTGGGGGGGGCCGATCCTGCAGGTGGAGCAGATCTGGGAAGGGCAGCATCTTTGGAGCAGGCACCAGGGGGGAGGAGCTGCTGCTTCTGTGGGTCTTTGAGCTTTGCCTGCCTACACAGGCTTTGCAAGCCGAGGTGGTTTCACCTCATTGTCTTCCTGTGCATGTTACCAATTCATCTGATGCCTTTTGCTGGGTGAAAAGGGAGCTTCTGTGCTCTGAGCCATCACAGTTTGGGCTTCTTTGGGTTGCCCTTCTGTTTGTGGGTCCTTTTTTTGATTGTATCAGCAGAAACAGCTGAAGGGCTGAGGTGCCAGCAATGAAAAAGGCTTAAGCATTTGCATGGTTGGTGTCAGTCCCACAGAAGTAGCAGGAAACCTGCAGTGGTTAGTTAAACCAAAGCACCGTGTCATGTTTTGCCTCCAGGACACATGGAGTGAAGATGACATCAACAATCTGAGCAACCTCCTGGTTGATGGAGATGGCAGACATCCTCCTGTCAGTGCAGAGAGAGGGGACAATGCCCTTGCTGGGGACCCAGCAGGTGGGAATACTGTGGGCGAGGAGCTGGGCGAGCAAGGTGGCCAGAACAAGGGAGGCCAAAGTGGGGAGGCTCAGCACCTGAACCGAGTGGACCATGAGGACACGAGTGCCCGAGATGGGAATGGCCTTGGCTTCCTGGTGAGTGCAGAGGGGAGTTGTGCTCAGCCCCAGCCTGCTGGCAGGCAGGGTGGGGGAACTTGGGCTCAGCCTGTGGCTTGGCAAAGCTTTGCATTTGTCTCCCTTTGTCACTTCCCCAGGAGGAGGACGCAGGGGATGCTGATCCTGGTGACCACGGGGAGCACCATGGGCTTCCCTCCCATGCCAACGGGTTCTTGGATGAGGAGGAGGAGGACAGTGGGGACGACACCTTGGATGAAGAGGGGGGTGAAGGTCCCACCTATGTGCCTGGTGCTGAGGGGGCAGGCAAGCACGGGCAGGATGTAGGCGGTGGGGCTGGTGGGGGACATGGTGACAGCAGCAGCAGCAGCAGCAGCGAGAGCGTCGGGGCCGATCACCGGTACGAGCGGCCCTACCGGTGGGGAGGGGGCAGCAGCAGCAGCCAGGAGGATGAGGAGAGCTACCATGTGGAGGATGGAGCCATGCAGGGTGATGACGCCTCTGTCTTCGACAGCCCAAGCAGCAGCTACCAAGGGCACCGTGTGGGCCCCCGTGCCCCAGGGAGCAGCAGAGAGACTGTCCTGGGGGTTGGCTCCCGTGGCTGGGAGGAGGAGGACAGCAGGTCCCCAGAGGTGGAGGACACCGACTTGGGAGAAGACAGCCCATCCACAGAGGACAACAGCCCGTCGGAAAGCCAGTCAGAGGAAAACAGTGCCAGTCCCTCTAGGGAAGATGGGGAGGACAGCCCTTCTAGGGAGGATGAGGATAGTGAGTCCAGGGAGGGCACGACCGATGGGTCGGATGAAGAGCCAGGCGAGTCCCCAGAGGATACGTCCCAGGAGGCGCTGAGTGCATCAAGCGAGCACAGCAGCAGCCACTCCTGGGAAGGGCAGGAGGGCCAGGAGACTGCTGAGGACAGGAGTGCACCATCCGTGCCTGACAGCGAGTCTGGGGAAGAGGAGGGAGACCAGAGCAAGTCCACGGAGGACACTGTGGAGGAGTCAGAGGAGGAGAACGACTCCACCCCTGACGGGCACGTGCTGAGCGCGTCCGAGGAGAGCCAGAGCGCGTCCTCCGAGGGGGATGGCAGCCAAGGGGACACCACGGGCGAGGACAGCAGGTCCCCAGAGAGTGACAACAGCGAGTCCCAGGAGGATGATGATGAGGAGGAGGAGAGCCACT